GAGTTTTGATTTCGTAGCCCAAACATACTAAGATGGGCTTCTAATCCAATTTTGTTGCCCAAATGTGTATATTGGGCGACAAAATATAAACTCGTAGCCCAAAATGAATTTTGTGCAACGAGTTTGAATGTATAAGGCTACCAATTTTATTTTCAATGCCCAAATTTGATACGACGACGAAATAATTTAAGGACCTGTTTTTTTTAGTTTCTGGGCAGAGCATGAGTCAGCAGAGCAGAGCAGATTTCATTATTATTATTATTATTATTAAAATAATAATAATAATTATTATTATTATTATTATTATTATCATTATCATTATTATTATTATCATTATTATTATTATCATTATTATTATTATTATTATTATCTCAAAAACAGACAAAGCCATACAACCTACAAGAAATTAGTGGGAAGCCGAGATACAATCTGGGCCCCCACTCCTCTAGCTATAGCAAAGCCTACCCTAGTGAAGATATAAGCTGCAGCACGAGCCCTAATGTCTTACGTCGTCGAGAACCTCTGGATCCGCTTCAGCAACGCAACAGCCTTCTTCTCTAATTCCCCAAGCGAAGAAAAGGAGAAGGGAATGAAACCATATCCAATCAGCCGACAACTAGCTTCATACTTCACCCGCTTCCGATGAGCCGCATCAGCCACAACCCGTCCAGGAACAAAGTCAAATAGCCCTGTCTGTGTCAAAGGAGAAGACCCTGTTAAGTCCACACAAATATCGCGACCACGATCCCAGGAACAAAGCAACACATCAGCAGGTCTGAGGGCCCCGTCATTCCCTCCAGACAACCCTATGTCAACCTCCTTTCTTGCTGAAATCCTAGATCTGTAGTAGATATCAACAAGGGTATCCCGGACAATATTATGTCGATGTTTAATACCCACAATACCAGCACACGACACCGTGTGATCATCGAAAATATCCCAGTAAAAACCCGAGAACAAGCAGAGCACGGCGTCGAGATAGAGAACAATGGAACACCCATCCGGTAGCACAACACACATCGGTAGGTCTTTGGGTTCATCGTCTGACCCAACCCAGAAATAGGGACTGCCCGAAGCCAAGCAGAGGTGTGATCTCCCTGCTACGATTTCCACAATGCTGATTGCCGAGGAGACAAAGAATAGGCGGATTCTGCAGAAGCGGTAACCTTTGTGAAATATATATTTGCCAATTTCTTCATGAGTTTAGGGGCAGCGACCTCACTAGGATTACTCATAATGTCAGACTCCACTATTCCATTAAAAAGACTCAACGCATCTCCAAAGGGCTGTGTCTGCAACCCGACTGTAACCGAGAGCAAGAAAAGCATAATGACAAACATCACCTATAGAATATACCCCAAGCCCTCCAAACACAAATGGTAAGATGGCAAGTCGCCATTGCCAATCGCCAAACCCAGGCCCCGAAGCATGACAATACGCTCCAAGGAAGATCGAAGAGCCCCGTCGAATGTGCGCTGAGCCGTCTCAAAAGTACTAGGAGGACAAGTACGCAATGCAAAGTAGAGTTTAGAAACTCCGGTACATGACCAAAGTAACAATAGCTCACACTGAGGATCATCAAGCATATCAACCTTATCCATAAGCGCAATGGTCTTGGTCACCCTCTGCATCACAAGCTCAACACCAAAACCGAAATCAGAACTAGTAGGACCACCAAGTAACTTAACACCACGCAAAGGTCGGGCAATATTGGGCGGAAAAACACCCACAAGCTTGCTTCGAGGGTCTTCTGTAGGCCAGAAAACTTCAGTTTTTTCCACATTAAGATGCAACCCAAAACGAGGTCCTTCCTCTATAATCAACTGCAGAACCTTCCCCGCCACCAAAGTGTCACCAATAACAGTGTCGTCATCCAAATACCACGCATGAAGACATAAGTCAAAAGCATCTCTGATTTTACAAACCAGGGGCTGTAAAACCAAAGCAAAAAGTAGAGGACCAAGGGGATCACCCTACTGCACTCCTTGACACGACCATAAGGATTGGTGCCCATAATACAATTTGGCTGGATTAGAATAGCATAATTCAACCCATCGCGAAATGCCCGGACAACGACGACAAGCTTCACGCAACATTGACCGTACGATCAACAAGATTGAAGGCATTTTGAAAATCCACCAACAACATAGAAAGACCAACATCAGAACCACGGTACTCAATCAACCGATTCACAGCATGAAGAATTGCCTCACCACCTGAAGAAACCCCAACGCCAAATTGAAGACCATCAAAGTAACTTCCTAAAGACTAGCCAACCATAACAACACCCACTTTCGAAACCAAACGTCGCTAAATAGTACCCACAGCTATAGGACGAATACCACCACTGAGCTTGACAAGTGGGGTAAGAGGAGCACTAGAAATATACTCTCCTAGTTCCTAGGACACTTTCCAGCTAGAAAGAGTTTAACCACCGCGTAAATAGAGTCAACTAACTCATCTGATACAGCCACAGCAACACCACTCAAGCAATCCAAAAGGTGTTGAGCAAGTAAACTGTCCCTACCACATAATGTGCCACGTGGAAAACTCTTAATCCGATCCAAAACAATAGCAGAAGTAGTAACGAGATGAAGGCCATCAACAGGTATATCAGGCAAGGATGGAGCTGGAGAAGTAGGGTGTTTAGACTGTAAATTCGCGAGAGTGACGTCATTATAAGGAGCAACGCCTGAAGAAGAAAGAACCCGGATTGCAGCAGTGTAATGGCCATCACAAATCTTCCTACGACATTGCTTGATATTACGCTCCTCCAAATCAAGGTCCTCATCACCAACCACTGATAAAGTAGGAGAATCCTCTGCCAGACTTTCCCTCACAAGCTGCAAACTACGACCGGGTGCACTCCAAGAACAAATAGCACGGGAAATACTCTCTTCCTGATGTCGACACTTCACTGAAGACCGAGACTCACGACTACTCCGCGGGCGAAAGGTTTTAAGGGTGCAAAGAGGTAACACCAACAAAGAGACCCAATTAGAAATGTCATCAGACTTAGAGATCACCTTATCAAGGGCACCTTTCAGAACCCGAGAAAACCCCAAACAACACTTGGGAGGGATAGACTTCACAGTGCGAAACCCCCTAGAGAACAAACCATCAAGGAGCACCACATCAAAACCACAATGTTGATCTTGTACCATACCACCCTTGCACCCAAGCCGAGGTGGAGAAGATGGAGCTTGTGGCTTGGAGAAACCATAAAGCACAAAACGAACAATACCATCACCTTCATCCGGGGACACAATCGTACCCGTACTATGACGGCACTTAGTATGAAGCGTATGCGTCTTGTAGCAAACACCCCATAACCAAATCCCCATACGCGTAAAAGTAACTTCTGCTTCATTATAAACAGCCAAATTAGAAGTAAGAGAATGTCGGGTGATATCCCGCGCACCAATACAACAATGACGATCACAAAGATGTTTGATCAAAGAACTTCTAGCAAGGCCATTTCCACTCCCATCTTGACAACCACTAAGACCCACAAAGGGACAATGAAACTTCACCGACATGGCTACACACATCCACCAAAAACCACAGCAAAAACCACTCACAAAACAACACTTAAAATGCCCAAAAAACTAACCAGAAAACTGCACCCAAACGCACTTGAAACTGCACTAGAAATGGCCAGAAAAATGCACCCGAAAAGTATGCAAAACAGCACCCAAAAAGCACGCAGAACAACACCTCAACTGAACAGAAAAATGCACCCAAGCACGCAAAACAGCACCCAAACAGACGTCCCAAGCATGTAACAAAACAACACCAAAACAGACCCAAAAACGAACTAAAGCTGCACCAAAACCATCCCTATACTGCCGAGAGAGCAGCTTGAAAAATCGCCAGAAAATCGAGCTTGAAACCGCCTGCAACCTGACCCACTTTTACGCTTGGAAACCGCCTGAAACCGGCTTGAAAAGATCGTGGAATATGCCTGAAAAATATACCTGAAACTGCCACCAAATTGCACCGAAAATGGCTCTAAAACTGCACCAGAATTACACCCGTAAACCTAGATAAATGGCTGAAAAAGACGCGTAAAAATGAGCCCCAATTACGCCTCTAACCGCCACAAAACGTCGCCGGAAAATGATCTAGATACCAGGTTAAATCACGCCCGGAAGCAGCCCTAAAAACAACTTGAAAAACGACTAAAAAAGCACCCAAAAACAGCCTGAAAAACGACCAAAAACGCCACAATATTGCCAGAATAACCGCCTGAAAGTCGCCTGAGAAAGTTGTCGTTCGCCTGACCTGAACCTACGCCGGAGCTGCCCCTAACCCGCCGGATGAATTAAACGAGGAAGCCACCCTGCCCTAATCGCCCCCTAATCGAGAGAATTGACTTTATTATTATTATTATTATTAGTACTACTACTACTATTATTATCACTGTTATTATTATTTCATTATTATTATGATCATTAAATATTATTATTAAATATTATTATTATTATAATAATTATTATTCATTATTAATTATTTATTATTATTATTATTATTATTAAATATTAATAATTTATTATTATTATTATTATTATTATTAGCGCATTATTATTATTATTATCATTATTATTACTACTACTACTATTATTATTACTATTATTATTATCATTATTATTATTATCGCATTATTATTATAATCATTAAATATTATTATTAAATATTAATTATTATTATTATAATAATAGTAATTATTATTAATTATTATTATTATTAAATATTAATAATTTTATTATTATTATTATTATTAAAAATTAATAATTATTATCTTTAAATATTAGTTATTATCTTTAAAATATTAATTTTTATTATAAAAAAGCAATTATTATTATTATTATTATTATTATTATTATTATTATAACAAAAACCTACAAAGTCAATTCATTTACTATTATTATTATTTTTATTAATAATAATAACTATTATCATTATTATTATTATTATTATTATTATTACTATTAATAATTATTATCTTTAAATATTAGTTTAGCCTACTCCGATCATCTGGTTCTCTACTCCGTCGGCTCCAACACGCTTGGTAGTGTAACACCTTGTTTATTCCAGGTAATTCGCATATACAGATTCAATTTTTGTAACATTTTTGGGTAAAATTTGTTCTTTGAATTGATATAATCAACTATGGGAGTCGATTGATATAAAATGAAGGTAGAAAACCCAATTTGTTTGCCGAATTATTCAAAATTTGAGCGTTGGAGTCGATTGATATAATCAATGAATCCTTTTACACTGTTTTTGGTCCGTTTTCTTTTTTTTTTTTTTTTTTTTTTTTTTTTTTTTATCCAATTGTTTTGCGATTTTTTATTTTTGGTTTAGATAATTCTGGAGTCGATTGGAGTCGATTTGAATTGGTTTCAATTGGTTTTGATTTATTGAAGTCGATTTTGTTTTTGGTTTCGCCTTGTTTCAATTGTTTTGCTAATTCTGTATTAAATTGTTGTTTTATTTACTATTTTATTGTGATTTTTATTGCAATTTTCTGGCAATTTTTAGTTGATTGATTTTACTCTATATTCCTGTTTGTTTTTTAGATCATGGTCGTCTTTGGTATTTCATATCTGTTGCACCGTCTGATGTTATATTGCCTGTACTTTAATTTCTGACATAAGTATGAGATCAATTCAGTAAAATTAATAATGGGACAAACATAAAAAGCAAAGAGAAATCAACAAACAATAGCTACTTCTAATAATTGATATTAAACTATGATAGCTTGATCCATTTAATTTAGTTACCATATTTTTACTGTTTTTTCAAGAAAATATTTGATCTAATGGTTATGTAGTACGATAATTATACAAATCCGAGTATAAATTGTTTCATTTTGACAAAAAGTACAACAAAAAAATCTAATCTGAACATTTTTTATTTTTATTTTTGGTATGTTAGTTTTTGTGATGAATCTGATGATGTAAGATTTGCTTGTTCATATAATTGATAGTTTCTGGTAATTGATGTTTTCTAAACTAAGATGAAGTAAATGTGTCACTTAAATCATTTTTTCTTTATTAATAAATGTATTGTATTGGTATCATTGCAGTTACCCAGCACCCCCGGAGACTGTTGCAATTTTAGGCGCTACTACAGTCTATAATCAAATCTTTGTAGCTCTTAGTTAGTAATTTGCAAAACTATTTTTATGCATTAGTGGTTTTCAGCTCATATGGTGCCAAGTTTTTCAGTTGACATAAACTAGCTCTAATTTTTCTTTTAATCTGTTTTTTGTGTTAGTTTCTTTGTTTTGTTTTCAACTTTCTTTTTACATTCTGTTTGCTTTTTCTTGTTTTGTTTTCTCTTGTTTGGGGTCTTTGTGTAGAGTAGTGGACAACTGGACACAACTTTGTTTAACTTGTATAAGAATAATATTTAAGTTATTAGTGTTAATGCTTATTTTATATAACAAATTGCTATTATTATAGGAGCAAATCTTTATGCTTATTATCACTAATATCATGCACAAGAAATTAATACAGGGAAATGGCAATTCAGCAAGTGCAGCAGGATGCATCACAGTTGCGTAAGACAAGGCAAGTGTCAAATGCAGGGGCAACGATTGAATGATCAGCATGTGCACAATGTGCAACAATATCAGAATGCAGAGCAGCAACAACAACAAAATGTGCAGCAGGAACAAGAACAAATTGTGGGGCAGCAACAACAACCGAATCAGGAGAAGCAGCATGATGCAGAAGCATCAACTATAATTATACAAATCCGAGTATAGATGATATGATGAAAATGTTTGAACAACTAAGGTATGACACTTTCTCATCTTCTATTAGAGATATATATTTTAGTTATAATCAAGAATATATGTTGCTGCGTGCTATTGCTGTCATGGTTCCTGGTAATGTCTATTGGCAATTTTTTTCCCACCAGTGCACTAATAATTTTATCTGGATTTGTTTACTAAATGACTGAAATATCTTTCTATATTCTGGGGTAAATTGATTAAGTTGCTGCTTATTGTCATTGCCGAGATGTTTAACTTATGAAATAACAATGTAGCTTGCAAGTTTGGATTCTGTCAATTGCTAGGATTATAGAGAAACTGATTAATTTCATGAGTTATGCTTGTAGCTTCCCTTTTCATGTCTGTCCTGTATGGGAAAATTAGTACTTGCACTCAATTCATACTTTAATTTGCAATAGGATGGTTAGTGAGTTGTAAATAAACAATGGTGTGTAGAGCTCCACATGGATACTTTAATTTCTTGCGTAAAAACTGATTAGTTTCTTGCGTAAACACTGTAATTTAGTGTAATAAATTGAATGTCTATAACAGGGTAGCTCAAGAAAAGTGAGATTCTAAATGACCTTTATGTGGACTGCAATATCCACAGCTTGGTTTGCATTGGTGTAGTTAGTGATGGTGTTCTTTTAACCTTTTAGCTTAATTTGGCAGATCTAAGTCCCCATCCTTTTAGATCTTTTCTTTTCATTTTGTGGAAAGCTTTTTCTTACCTGAGAAATATTTGAATCCTTTGTAATAGGATAGCCACTTGGGAGGAGTAGCTGTTTTGAAAAGATTTAGTGTTTTATTCATGATGGCTTTAACTATAATTTTTTTAATTTTTTTTTAAAGGAGTGAACTTGATTGGCAAACTATTGATTTGGGAATCTGAATTATTTTAAAACTAGACATATTTGTCAAATGAGCACCTGAAATTTCTAAATTAATAGGTTTATCAATCATAAAAAATGCATTCAATATTAATTGTTTGATTCATTTTATATGGATAGAAAATATACAAGCAAGAAAATTCCCTGTTTCTATTAACTTATTGTAGCTTTTCAAAATTCTGCATGGTTGACCAAAACCAACAGTTAGGCTAAGGGGAAGATATCATAGTATATAATTTTTGATGTAGCAGTTTTAATACTTTTTGTGTAATAAAGTGTATTTGAAGTTTATATTTGTGAAAATAATTGTATGATTTATATACTAAAATTTAGGATGCTTTCAACTATTTTGATGTTACTTACTTATGTTTCACTTACACAGGAATAACATGGGCTAACGATGAAAAATGGATGATCGCAACTATTGAAGGTGATTAATAAAAGCAGTGTTGAGAAGGGCCGATGTAAAAAAGTTTGTATATTTATGTTTATGTTATTGTATTTAAATGGATCATGTACTTTGTTGACAAAGTGAGATTATCTTATAATTAGCACGTTTCCTTAGTATGTTATTTATAAAATAAATCATTTTATAGTCATCATTCAAATGTTTGGTGATTAGGGGATTTTGCTCCCACCAATCGGAATGCGCCACGTGGACCAATCAGGTCCTGCCAAGTGTCCCCCAGTTGGACCTCTCAGGGCTTGCCACGTGGCAAACGCTTATTCGTCCACCCTGGACTTATTATGTCATGACACGTGGCATACTCCATGCCTAATGGAGAAGCCGGCCACCTAGGCCCAACTTCCGAGGGAAGCCCAATCAGCCCAAGGTTAACCTAAACATAGATTGGCACGTTTCCCGAGGTTATAAATACCTCCCTTAATCCTCATTAAGGGAGAGGACGCAGATTACACACATTAAACACTCTCACCTAGAGAGACCCAATCACTTTAATTTCCGCATTAATTACTCCTTAATCAAGTACTAACTTGACCGTCGGAGGCGGATCTCCAATCATCCGGAGCATCCGTTTGTTTTGCAGGTACAGGCGTCCGGTTCCAGTCTCGGAATTGTAACTCTCCCGCAGGACATCAGAAAACCCCGAAACATTTTGGCGCTGTTTGTGGGGAGAGTACTTCTGAGATGGCATCCACGTTTGTACCGACTCCTGAAGAGAGACGTCCCCTAGACGATCCTCTAGTTCAGTCGGACCACGATACTGAGAATGAATTTGAAGTTGAAGCTCACACAGCTTCAAACGGGACCCTAAGGGCCCGACGTACCCGTCATACCGAAAGGAGGGAACGGGAACATCTTCAAACTGGAAGCGAGCCAGCAGGCGCACCGCCTGTTCGGCAGCAGCCGACTGATGGGTCTGCTCCCATCACAAGGAACGAACTCATGACCTTCATGAGGGACTTCAAGGGAGAAATTCAAGAGTTGATCAACAAGAAGCCGCCTGCTCTGGACAAGGAGCAGTCGGCTAAGAAACCCTCCACTTCACGGAAGAGGAAGCCAGTTCAAGGGCGAGAGGCGACCCCTCATCCTAAATCTAGGAAGTGGGAGCCACCTGCCCTTGATTTCACAAAATACCGTTTTCCTACTCCAGGAAATAGGAAACTTGTTCGTCATATTCAGGCGGACGGGTCGAGGAAAACATACACAGACGCTCGGCTACTGCTGGAGCAGAAGAAGAGTGACCGATTGTCAGAGTCGGCCTCTACTTCAAACTTCCAAGACAGTCTGTGAAATACCTCGATGAGGCATACTCAGTCGTATCATGAGAGTCAGTCAGGCGGCACCTCCCGTCAGTCCGGCTTTCATAGCGACCAGGCGGTACCAAACTTACCGTTTGTACCGCAACAACAGTATTTTTTACAGCCACCTCCGTTTGGTGGACATGCAGCAAAAAATGTCCAACCTATGGACTGGCAGCTACGGTTGCTTAGACTTGGTGAACAGCCGTCGGCCTTCTCCAAGGAAATTACTGAAGCCGCTCAGCCGGCCAAAGTGAAAAATGTATTAGTAGGCGCCTATGACGGCACTACTAACCCAGAAGACCATCTGATGGCATTCACCAACCTGATGTACCTTCAAGGGTTGGATGATCCCACTTGGTGCAAGTGTTTCCCAGCGACTCTCAAAGGAATCGCACAACAATGGTTCGGCAACCTGCCGACTGGTTGTGTAAATAACTTCAAGACGCTTGCTTACTTATTCACCTCCAACTTCGCCATGAACATCCCTGCGAAGAAGACGACCCTTGATTTAGGAACAATTCAGCAGGGCGAGAAGGAGGGGCTTCGTTCTTACATCAGGCGGTTTAACCTGATGAGAATACAGATTCAAGGGTTACGGGATGAAGTAGCCTATACTGACTTTTTCAGAGGTCTCAAAGACGGGTCGACCTTCAAATTTGATTTGGTCCGAAAGAGGGTGGCGACTCTTCAAGAGGCCTTGATTGAAGCGGAAGCCTATATACAGGCGACTGATCTTTGTAGTACGGTAAAACAGTCAGACGGGAAAAGGTCCGACAAAAGAGAAGGACGACAGAAGCAGTCGTCAAACAAAGACGAGAAGAGAAGAGAGGTCTGGGCAACTGATTCCTCTAAACAGCCGTCCCAGAAGAAGAAAAAAGAATTCAAACCATACTCCCCAAAGTATGTGTTTAACAAGGATATCCAATTTATCCTAAAGGAAATCAAGGGACGGATCTCAATTGAGAAGCCGGTCCCCATGAAGGGTTCTGCAAACAATCGGAACCAAGAAAAATTCTATGATTATCATGAAGATGTTGGTCATCACACCAATGAATGCATCAGTCTCATGCGGTATCTGGACCGCCTGGCTGAGCAAGGTGATCTTGACACTTATGTCAAGAAATCTACGGGGAACACTTCCTCGAAAAAGCAGTCGACCAAAAAGAATCAACAGGCCGACAGCTCCGATACAGATGATGCAGTCGTCTACACTATTGCAGGCGGCTTCTCAGGAGGCGGCCCCACTATTAGGGGCAACAAAGACAATATCAGACGGTTAGATGTAAATTCCGTTCACCAAGAACGGCCCTCCAAATATTCATTTCCTGAGATTGTCATCACTGAAGAAGATCTAGGAGGGGTAAGAGGGCCGCATGACGACCCTATCGTTATTGAATGTAAAGTGGCCAACTAGAGAGTTGGCCGAATCCTCTCAGATACCGGAAGCTCCTCAGATCTCATCAGTAGCAAATGTCTGTCGAAACTAAAATATCAGACTGATTGCATACATCCGGCATCCCACCCTTTAGTAGGGTTTGGAGGAGGAGTCGTCCACCCAGTGGGACGAGTGGATTTACCCATCCGCCTGGGAGAAAAAGGGGAAGGACGACACATGGTAGTCCGGTTCCTGGTAGTAGAAGAGCTCTCGGCCTACAACATGATTCTGGGACGACCAACCCTGAATAATTCCAAGGCTGTTATAATCTCATCTCTTATGTTGCTCAAGTTTGAGAGGGATAATGGAACAGTCGGGTCCCTAAGGGGAGATCAGAGGATGGCCCGAGAGTGCTATCTCTCGGATGTCAAGCCCACTGTTATGGCCACTGGGTCGAGTGGTGGAAAAATAGACCTTGACAATGTCAAGGAGAATGCGCCTGTTCAAGAAGCAGGCGGCAAGAAGAGAAAGGCATCCCAGACAGGGGCTGCAAGAAAAGACAGAAAATAGCAATCATTGGCAGAGGAGCGGTCGGATGAATTCCGCCCTCAGCCAGCTGGTGAGCATACAGACCTGATCTTAGATGACTCACGTCCTGACAGAACAATCAAGGTTGGGACGACTGCTCTAAGGGACTTGGGTGACGACTTTCACAAACTATTGAAAGAATACAAGGACATCTTTGCATTCGAAGTCCATGAAATGCCAGGCATTAGTCCTGATCTGGCGGTACATAAACTGGCCGTGGATCCGAAAAAGAAGCCGGTACGGCAGAAGAAGCGGAACCATGGCGAAGAAAGAAGTCAGGCATCAGCCGCCGAAGTTAAAAAATTACTTGATGCAGGGTTCATTCGGCAATGTTACTTCCCAGACTGGGTTGCAAATGTCGTGCTTGTTAAAAAGCCGAATGGCACCTGGCGAATGTGTGTAGACTACACAGACTTAAACAAGGCGTGCCCCAAAGACAGTTACCCTCTGCCTAAAATTGATAACCTGGTCGACTCAACAGCCGGCCATGCTTTGATGAGCTTTATGGACGCCTACTCTGGTTTCCATCAAATTCCTCTATGGAAGAAAGATCAGGAGAAGACGACCTTCGTCACTGATCAGGGGTTATACTGTTACATGGTCATGCCGTTTGGTCTTAAGAATGCCCCGGCCACTTTCCAGCGAATGATAAACACTGTGTTCTTTGATCAGATTGGGAGAAATGTCGAGGCATATATTGATGATATGATTGTCAAGTCTAAACTTCAGAAAGATCATCTGTCGGACCTCCGAGAAACTTTCGCCACACTCGGGCGGCACCATGTCATGCTCAATCCCAAGAAATGTGTCTTTGGAGTTGAGTCTGGGAAATTTCTCGGATTCCTTATCAATCAGAGAGGAATAGAGGCGAACACTGAGAAGGTGCAGGTGGTCATCGACATACAGTCGCCTCGTACCATCCGAGAGGTTCAGAAGTTAACAGGTTGTCTGGCAGCCTTGGGAAGATTTCTAAGCCGATCAGGCGACAAATGCCTATACTTTTTTCAGGCAATTAAGAAAAAGGCAAGGTTTGAATGGGGGCCGGATGCTGAGGCGGCCTTCTAGAAATTGAAAGTTCACTTGCATTCCTTGCCGAGGCTGGTCAGCCCTTTGCCCAAAGAAGTACTCTACATGTACCTGACCGTCTCTGATCATGCGTTAAGCGCTGTTCTCCTTGCTGAAAGAGACAGCTTTCAGCTCCCGGTCTACTTTGTCAGTCATGTACTGAAAAATGCCGAGTTGAGGTATCCCTTAGTGGAGAAATTTGGTCTTGCACTCTTCATGGCTGTTAAAAAATTGAAGCCCTACTTTTTGGCACATGCAGTCGTCGTGTATACAGACCAACCTATCAAGCGGCCACTGACCATCATGGAGTCGTCAGGCCGAATGATCAAATGGGCCATAGAAATACAGAGCCTCGAAGTTACCTTCGAGCCTAGAAAAGCAGTGAAGGGGCAAGCCTTTGCTGACTTTATTGTTGAGATGACTCGTCCTCCTGACTCTCAAGTTCCAGACCAAGTCTGGAAGGTATATGTGGATGGAAGCTCTACTTCAAATGGTAGTGGAGCAGGCGTCATATGTCAGTCGCCAGAGGGCGACAGGTACTAGTATGCTCTACGCTTCAGTTTTCAGGCCTCAAACAATGAGGCAGAATATGAAGCTTTACTAGCCGGAATCCGCATGTGCAAGGCGGCAGGGGCAAGAAAAATAGACGCCTGTTCCGATTCACAATTGATAGTGAGTCAGTACAATGGCGAATACGAAGCAACCCATCCGGCCATGATCAAGTATTTACAGGCGGTCCGACAAGCAGTCGTCTCCCTTGAGGATTTCCATCTAACCCAAGTGCCGAGATCAGAAAACAACCAGGCGGAT